GTGCGATGCATCGCCACTTTCCTTTTTTGTAAATTATTTATGTTGATCAACCTGCTTATACATCGCCACCCCCCTTAAAATGGCAATGATAAACATAAAAATTTGCATCGCACGTGCGATAAATAAATTATTTCATTATTTTATTTATTATATTTAATTTATTTATTATATTTATTATATTTATTATATTTATTATATTTATTATATTTATTATATTAGTTATATTTATTATATTAGTTATATTTATTATATTAGTTATATTTCTTATATCTATTATATCTATTATATTTATTATATCTTTATATATGTAGTAACTTTTATATAAATAATGTTGGTATTTTCCTTCGTTATAAGTTAAGTTCGAATAGGACCCAGATATCTAATATAAAGGTCATAATGGACTTTTGGCCAAAAACACCCTTTTTGCTAAAACTCAAAAAATCATTTTTTGTAAATATCTTAGCATCCAGTGATTCAATTTTAATGAACTTTTTTTTTATTTTGTAGCCCTCATTTAGCTCTACAATTTAAAAAAAATGTTCATCAAAATTGGACCACTAGATGCCGAGATATTTACAAAAAACGATTTTTTGAGCCCTAAAAAATGGGCCAATCTGCCGAAAGTGTGACTTATGACCTGTTTTGGAGATATCCAGGATCCTGTTCGAATTAGTTCACCTTAGTTCTTTTAGTTCCTATTAGTTATTATTCTTGTAATTATAAAGTTCTATAATAAAGTATAACCCTTTACACTATAAACGAACTCCCTATTTTAAGCATGTCTTGTTTGATTGGATTTCAGTCATAGTTAAACGTACTTAATCTTGCTGACTGCAAATCATAGTTAATCTATTCAACGTACTGAATCGGTTAACAACACACCAAATATGAGGCTACTTATCCCAAAAATCTGATATGCGATTATTTATGGTTATAATTGTGGTCAATCGGATCATATAATTGCAAAAAAATTGGGGTGTGGTAAAACTGCCATTTATGATGTACTTAAACATTTTCATGAAACTGGCTTTTTTACACCCAAAAAAATCAGGTTATCTGCTACTTTTTAATTCACCAACATGACAAGAACTCAAAGCTTTTTGTTCAAGTAAATGGTGAAAATTGTCGATTCTATTCAAAAAAGATTGCAACTGTATGTTTGGACAGCTCGTAAAAAGCAACCTGTTTCTGCAATTACCATACACTATAACCTTAGAAAGGTTGGACTTCGTGCCTGTATTTCCTGTCGCAAATCTGCAATGACAGAAACACATCTTACCTTGAATGGGCTTTTGCTTACAGAAATTAAAATGGAGAAGTGTACTTTTTCAGATGAAAGCACTTTTACACAGTTTCAACAAGATCATTAGAGAAAGGTTTGGTGTAAACCATGAGAAATATTGAATCCTGATTGTATTGCAGTTACCATAAAATACAGCCCTAGCAGAATGTTTTGGGGTTGTTTCTCCTAGCATGGACTTGGACCAATTGTTCTGTTAAAAGGTTCAGTTACAGGTAAAACCCATACCAAAATTATTCAAGATTATGTCGTATCTACTTTGGATGAGTATTTTCTACATAGTAATGGATAGGGATTGGAACCGGTTAAGGTTAACCGGTTAATTAACCAGTTAAGGCGGTTAACCGGTTAAGACCTCTCAAAAAACGGTTAACCGGTTAATTTAACCGGTTAAATTAACCGACTAATTAACCGGTTAATTTAACCGGTTAAATTAACCGACTAATTAACCGGCTAACTTAACCGGTTAAAATACAGATCATCCTAAATTAGTCATTCCTAGCCAACTTCTAACTTTAACTTTACTAGCATTAACTTTAATTTTGCCCACCCTAATAGATTCGATGATAAACCTGCAATCTTATATTTTAATATAATATATTGTATATGATATTTATAATTTAACATTATTTATGTTAAAATATTCTAAAGTTATAACCTTGATTTATGCAGAAATCAGCATATTATCGGTTATAGTATTTTAAATAAGAAAAAATGCAAAAATTTGAATACTACAGTGGCCATCAGAATTGGAATGGAATTTCGGATAGAACTAAAAATATAATTAAAAAACTTTTCAACTTAGTGCTGATACCGGTGACTACTGCATGACTGGGTAGTAAGTAATTACAATATATTGTATGTAATTTTTTACTAATGTATACATTTTAATTTAAATATTTACCAGAAATTACTCTTAAATAATACTATTAAGTTAAAAACACAAAAATTTATCTTTAAACGTGCGTTAAAATACAAAAAATAGGCCTCTAAACACACGTTAAAATATAAAATTTATATATTAACCAGTTATTAACCGGTTAGCCTCATTACAAATTAACCGGTTAATTAACCGATTAATTAACTGACTATTAACCGGTTAGATGCTCTAATTAACTGGTTATTAACCGGTTAAGCTTTTTTTTGACGGTTCCAATCCCTAGTAATGGAATTTTCCAAGAGGATAATGCTCCACCACATCATTCAAGAGTCGCTATGGCTGCCCATGAAGATGCAAAAATTGTTGTGCTTCAATGGCCAGCAGCTTAAACCCTATTAAGAATATGTGGGCAGAAATGAAAGCAATGGTGTGTCATCATGACCTACCACCATCTAATATTCAAATGCTTGAGAAGTATGTTAAAGATGCATGGGATGATATTCCTCCAGAATATTTTAAAAAATTAATTGACAGCATGCCGTGTAGAATTGAAGCAGTTATTGCTGCAAATAAATATAATATTAATTATTAATATATAATTTTTTTTTACATATAATTAATAAAGGACAATCAGATTAATATATTTACTTAATAATTTTTATTTTTATTATATTTTTTTATATGAAATTTTTATGTTAAAAAATGTCCGTATACTTTTGATTGCCTACTGTAATGGTTCTTTGTAAATTCTCTATTCTTTGATTGTTCATGTAAAACTTTAACTGTTTTTCATTTCTTTAAAAATACATCTTTTATTAACTTTTCAATTATAGAAGATTTTCTACTCTGATACTTCCTTCTAATGTTATTATTTGTCTTTTCTCAGTATTTATTTACAGAAACTGCAAGATCATAGTGATGGCTTAATGTGCAGTAACTGCATATATGTAATTTCTTTACGATTACATAATGTGGTTACTATGTATTTATAACGCAGTTACTGCGCATTAAGCCATTGCTACAATCTTGAAAGTTCTTTAAAATGCATTAAATTATTATATTCTTCACTTTTAATATCATTAAAAATTTCTTTAAATGTATTAAAATAATCCAAATAACAACTCTATATAATAAAATTCTTTAATTTCTAAATTTAATTGTACTTTATACTTTTTCATAATATGTTTGGGTTTGTTAAGGATTTTTTTTTTTGAATGAATTTTCCTCAATTTGATTTGATATTCCGTCTTTTTCACATAAATTATTCTAATACTTTATTTATTTTACTATAATAATACTATCTTACTTCCAAAATATTATGATTCATGATCCAATTTTAAGGGATCCGTACAAAATCCCGACAAATGGCCCGCGTTATGCAGAATTATTCAGAGTCACGTGATGTGTTTGACCAGCATTAGAGTTCGGTTGTCCCAGACCTATGTTGAATCCATATTTTAGTGTTAAATATTATTTGTTGATATATATATATATCCTTAATATATATCCTTTGTTGTTAGTTTTTAAAGTGATTCTGCTTTATTTATTTATTTATTCATAACATCTTTGACGTACTATGTTACGGTAAATTTTCGTTTTTCTCTAGTAAGTAAATATTTATTAGTATTTTTATTTACTCTCCCCTTTACACTTTAAATTATTCAGTACTTAGAGAAAAAAGGGAGTCCATTATGGGATCATTTACACACATTTTTAGCATAAAAAAATACACCTATAGTACATAAATTATCAAAAGTTGATACTAGAACAGAGACAAATTCAACCTAAAATTATTTGTTCGTGATTAAATATAAATTCCGGACAATATTATGGTTATTTATGGTTATTTCTTTAAACGGCAAATTTTCCCGAAATTAGTAATTAACAATTTGTGATTTTAATAATGTTTATTTTTTTTATTTATTGGTACTAGTCTTTTTGTTTATTTCTAATTATTTTAAGAAAAAAATTTTTATGTATATAAAATTAAATATAGAAACGTAATAAAATGTTCTAACTATTTATATATTAATATATTATTACATAAAAGTTGTATAAATAAATCCTACAAGACTAATTAAAATAACTCCAGAATAATTATAAAATTGATGAGTAAGTTTCTGACCGGCAGATTTAAAGTTATTAGCAATATTACTAGTCATACTAGGACAACGTTCTTCATATTCTTGTAATGGGTTGTTTTTACCAATAAAAACCTTTTGTAAATTACGAGTATCAGGAGGATGAGATGATTGATAACTTAAAAGATTCTTATAAGATTGTTTGTTACATTCATCTTCACATGATAAAGCATTAAAAGTATTCTTATCTGTAGTGGTTGTATTTTGATTCGCTTCCGATTGTTCAAAACTTTTAACCGTACAATATTCTAAAAAAAAAAAAAGAAATAATTTGTTAAAAAAATTTTATATATATGTAAATGATATTATATACTTAAATACTTAATAACTTACGGTCATTTACTTTCAAACAAAAATTATCTCTTGTAGGTATAGCCACATAATATTCAATCATAGTTGATATAGCTCTACCTCCGTCACTACTAATATTAGTTCCACCATTTCCAGTTCCATTAGTAGAAATATATTTATTCACTTCTACATCACAAGCTTTAGAAACTTCGGTATAAGCATTTTTAGAATCTGATACACTACATGCATTATTTGCGGTATCAGCGCAAGCTTGATTTAAAGCTGCTGTTATTTTTTGTGAATCTAGGTTTTGTAACTTTTTATCATCATCAGGAGGATTATTTACAGTTAAATAATAAATGAGAATACTAGTAAACAAGCATTTGTCAGAAGGTGGTTTTTTAGTCTCGATAAATGATGAATCCGTTGTATTATGTTTAAAAAGGGCTTGTTGACATGGTGTACATGTTGAGCCTTGTTGTATAGCGAAAGTTAGTTCACAAGTAGCTGCTGCTGGAGGTGTTTGATCCTGAGCGTAAGCGAAGAGGATTAATACGTTTAATAATACGAAAAAACTAAAAGATTTCATTGTTTCTATTGTTATATCAATAAGGATTTTTTATTCAGAATGTAAATGTTTTTTGTAAATGTTTTTTGTAAATGTTTTTTGTAAATGTTTTAGTAAATGAGTTTTTTTTTAATTCTGACGGACTAAAAAATTCGATCTTTTTATAATATTAACGTAACACGAATTATTATTATTACGATTGTTGAAAAAAAAAGGAATTAATAAAAATAAAAAAATAAAACAAGGAAAATTAACAAAATGAAAGTAAGACAAGAAAATTATTAAACATAAAGAACTTAAAAGAATGTGTACCTTCTTTCTAATTGTGATCTAGTTTCAGTTTATGATAAAGTTTGTCTCAATTTTTTTTGTACAAAAGAAAGAAAAAGACAATAATAAAGTTTCATTTTAGTACATTGTTACATAAAAATGTATGTTACGCAATTTTTACCTATGAAAAAAACTGAGAGGTTTACTTTTTTTTATGAGTATGATAATCAATTACTTAATTTTGAAAATTGAAACGAAATAATATTAATGAAAATTGTTAATAAATGATTATTATTATATGTTGTACAAAAAACCTTTGTTTGAAAAATGGATTTGTATCCCACAAACATTGGATTTCGGTTATTAATAGAGTAATTTTGTGTTTCATTACATATGATCAACCAATAGAAAGAATAAGGGGTATAAACTTAAACCTAATAAAGGATAATTGTTAATATATTTAGTAATATATTCATAGACTAATAGAGAATCATAGACTAATAAAGAATGAATTAATATACTTTTTTTTTCAAATTGAAACTTTTGTATTAATTAGCTTAAATTAAGGTTACGAGCGAAAGAAAATTATTTTATACGTGCAGTTTATACTTTTTACATTTATTATTAAAAGATATGTATGTACTACATTAAAGATACATTGTATCGAATAATATTAAAAGCTAAACAATAATATTAGACCTAAATTGGATATTTGAACAATTAACTGATTAGGTCCTTGTAGAAAATTTAATCCATAATTTTCATGAAAACTCCGTGGATGTGATACATTTACGGAAATAACATGGAATAAAAAAATTTTGATATGATTGGTTTGGAGAAAGCGATCATAGATTAGTAACTTTTTTTTGAAGAAAACAACAATTCAAAAAGTGCTATATCGCACAAATGTTTTAAATATTTAATAAAAAGTAAAGAATATAACAATATTGGAATTGCGAGTAGAAGATGTACAAACGTTGACTTTAATCTATTGACCTTATTTATTACGAAGCAATAGACGCCAACTAAATGAAAGTCAAATTACAAACATCTTATTTATTATTATAATGGAATGATTTAATCTAGAACGTAATTAACAAGCGTGACTAATTTTCCTCTCTCATTTTCTGTAACGAATATTTGATCGGTATTTACTTTATAAATTTGGATTAAATGTACTTTTTATTTAATTTTCGTCTAAAGAAGTAAAGATATATTCTTCTCTTCATTTCTTTCTCTTAATTTATTCTCTCTAAACACTCTTCTGCCGTCATTTCTAATATCATTTATCTCAGTATATTACTAACACTGTCTCCAAGTAGTTCCAGTTCCATACACTAAAGAAAAAGAGACGCCTACTGTGCACATGTTGCTATCTTAACTGGTTATTTCTTGATTTAATAATTTCAATTTCCAGTCGATATTGATATTTTAATGGTTCTTTGTAAATTCTCTATTCTTCGATTGTTCATGTCGTTCATGTAAAACTTTAACCGTTTTTCATTTCTTTAAAAATACTTCTTTTATTAACTTTTAAATTATAAAAGATTTTCTACTCCGATACTTCCTTCTAATGTTTATTATTTGTCTTTTCTCGGTATTTCTTTAAATGCATTCCTCAATTTTTCTAACAGCATATAATTTTTTTCGGATATTAAATTATTATATTCTTCACTTTTAATATCATTAAAAATTTCTTTAAAATTCTTTAATTTCTAAATTTAATTGTATTTTATACTTTTTCATATGTTTGGGTTCGTTAAGGATTTTTTTTTCGAATGAAATTTTCCTCAATTTGATTTGATATTCCGTCTTTTTTCACATAAATTATTCTAATACTTTATTTATTTTATTGTAATAATACTATCTTATTTCCAAATATTATGATTCATGACCCAATTTTAAGGATCCGTACAAAATCCCGACAAATGGCCCGCGTTATGCAAAATTATTCCGAGTCACGTGATGTGTTTGACCAGCATTAGTTTCGTACCTGTCGGGATTTCGTACCAGACCTAATTTTAATGATGTTGAATCCATATTTTAATGTTAAATATTATTTGTTAATATATAATATAAATATATATCCTTAATATATCCTTCGTTGTTAGTTTTGAATGTGATTCTGCTTGATTTATTCATAAAATCTTTGACGTACTATGTTACGGCAAATTTTCGTTTTTACTCTAGTAAGTAAATGTTTATTAGTATTTTATTTTCTCTCTCCTTTACACTTTAAATTGTTCAGTAGAGAAAACAAGGGAGTCCATTATGGGATCATTTACACACATTTTTAGCATAAAGAAATGCACCTATGGTACATAAACCGCGTTAAAAAGGTGACTTACCCTAACGCAACGCACCGAAATCAGGAAAGTTGTCGATCAAAAAGTTGATGCTAGAACAGAAACAAATTTAACCTAAAATTATTTGTTCGTGATTAAATATAAATTCCGGACAATATTATGGTTATTTCTTTAAACGGAAAATTTACCCGACAATTTGTGATTTTAATAATGTTTATTTTTTTTTATTTATTGGTACTAGTCTTTTTGTTTATTTCTAATTATTTGATGATAGTCTAAGAAAAAAAATTTTTTGATATATAAAATTAAATATAGAAACGTAATAAAATGTTCCAACTATTTATATATTAATATATTTATTACATAAATGTTGTATAAATAAACCAATTAAAATAATTCCAGAATAATTATAAAATTGATTAGTGAGTTTTTGACCATCAGATTTAATTTCTGATTCGTTACTAGCAATACTATTATTAACAATACTATTAGTAATATTAGGACAACTATTTTCAAATATTTTTAATGGGTTGCTTGTACTATTAATAATCTTTTGTAAATTAGGAATATCAGGAGGATGAGATGATAGAAAACTTTTGATATTATTATAAGATTGTATTGTACATTCATCATCACATGATAAAAAAGAAAAAGTATTCGGTTGCTGAGATTGAGTTTGATTCGCTTGTAAAAGAATTGCATTATTTTTAATCATTCTAGCCTTACAATATTCTAAAAAATAATAGAAGAGAGAATAATTTGTTAAAAAAAAAAAAAAAATATGTAAATGATATTATATACTTAAATACTTATTAACTTACCGCCATTTACTTTCAAACACAAATTTTCTCTAATAGGTATAGCCATATAATATCCAAGCATAGTTGAAATAGTAATACTTCCGACACTTCCATCAGTTCCAGTTCTATTATTAGAAGAAAGATATTGATTCAATTCTGCATCACAAGCTTTAGAAACTTCGGTATAAGAATTTTTAGCATTCGATTCATTACATGCATTATTTGCAGTTTCAGCACAAGTTTTATCTAAATCTTCTATTGCTTTTTTTGTAAATTGGGATATTCTTTCATCAGGAGTATCAGGAGTACCGGGAGTAGCGGGAGTAGTAGAAGGAGTAAGAAAAAGATAATAAAAGAAAATTTTATCAGCTAAACATTTGTCAGAAGGTACAGTTATATCAAGAAAACTCGGATTTGCATTATTTTTAAAAATTGCTTGTTGACATGGTGTACATGTCGTGCCTGTTAAAAAGAAAGTTTGTTCACAAGTAGCTGCTTCTGGAACTGTTTGATTCTGAGCGTAAGCGAAAAGTATCAATACGTTTAAAAATACGAAAAAACTAAAAGATTTCATTGTTTTTATTTATTATTTATTGTCTATAAGAAAATCAATACAGTAAGGAATATTTTTATTTAGAATGTAAATATGATGTTTTGTAAAATGATTTCTTTAAAATTTCTGACGAATTAATTATGATCTATTTTCAGTTTATGACTTTGTNAATACGTTTAAAAATACGAAAAAACTAAAAGATTTCATTGTTTTTATTTATTATTTATTGTCTATAAGAAAATCAATACAGTAAGGAATATTTTTATTTAGAATGTAAATATGATGTTTTGTAAAATGACTTCTTTTCGTTTTTTTATTAATTAATTATGATCTATTTTCAGTTTATGACTTTGTTATATTAAATTTTATGATGCGATTATTCAATTTTGTACAAAGAAAGAAAAAAAAAAAATAAAAATAATTAAATTTCATTTTAGTACATTTTTTAACGGAATTCTTAATTCTTGCATGCATAAAGTTTTTGATAAGAAAGAATAAAACTGTGAAGGTTTAAAGTTTAAATAAACATGTAAAATTATTGGCCAATGTAGTATTTTTGAAGTATTTCTGCTTAATAAATAAAATACAGATAAATTTATATGTTGCGCATTCCTGGTTAGGCATATGAAAAACTGGGTAATTGGTTTACCTTTTTTTTAATACAATAATACAATAATAATATTAAATAAAAACTTATCATAATCTGATAATAATGGTAATAATGGGATGAAATTGCCTTTTAAAGTTCATTGTTTATGTTGTACTAATTCTAACAAAATACCTTTGTTTGAAAAATGGACACAAACATTGGATCTCGTAATTTTGTACTTCATTCACTGTTTCATTCCTTGTTGAAAAGAAGAATAAAGAATATTTATTTATATTAATTGTTAACTGTTAATATATTTAGTAATATATTCAAAGACTAATAGAGTATTCTCTTAGCTAACTCATTGCGGCGGATTTATGAAATTTGGCAAAACCCCTGCTGCGTCCTCGGGAATTAAAATTGACTTACTTCAGAAACATTAAGCTTTTTTCCTAAAAAATGTCAAATGATGACGCACCTTTAACACTGAAAAAATTGGTAGAAATTTGGTGACTAAAAGACTGTCAAATATTTATTTAATTTGACATGACGGACAAATTTTGAGGCACTTCATAAATCCGTGATCATATTTTTAGTTTTTACTCAGATATGTTATTAATGACTTTTTTTTTATAGGAAAAGTGAATTTCTCTTCAAATTGAAATTTTTATCTACTCAAATTAAAAATTTTCGCTTATACGCAGTGAAATTCGATATAATGGAACCATCCGCTCCATTAGTAAAATTTGTCAAAAATCTGTTATATCAAGAGTTTCGTTATATCGAGGGTAAAATAATTATACGTCCGTTCCGGATATATCAAGATTTTACTTATGATCCGTTATATCGAGTTCCGGTATGTCTTCACTGCGTAATTTGAGTTAAATACGCTTTATACTTGACAGGATAAGGCTTATTACAGTACAGAATTTTTTAATTGTTATAATTATTATTTTTAGATTTTATAAAAAAAGGTTTCAAGTATATTATAGTCAAAATTCAAAGTACACGTTAAATTATGTCGTTGTTTTTTATGGCGGAATACCTCTGAAATTAACAGGATACAAGGGCAGCCTGCCGTATAAACTAACGGTACCTGCTATAACTAGCGACGGGTATATAAAATGGCCCACAAAATCAATATATTAGAAGGTGTGACATTAATTTTTTTTTTTTTGTTAACGACAATCTTTAGAAACTTTCTAATAAAATTTTATTAGTCTATAAATCTGGTTATAAATGTCAAGCTTTCTAATATTTGAAAGAACCCGCTGTATAAATTAACTGGTACTTGCAGCAAAAGATAACAGGTACCTGTCGTAAGTTACAGCGGGTACTCGTTAGCGGGTACACGCTATAAATTATAACGAGTGCACGCTATATTAAGTGATGCCATAGATGTTGTACAAACGTATTTTAGCATGGAATCTTCAAATGATCTCTTTCTGAGGTTATATCTTGTATATAAGTTTTTCCATTTGTCGCCATTTTTCAATGAAATTCGTACTACCATTTGCATCACCGTCCGCATCTTCCTCTTCTTTTTATTATAGATTTTTTGTACAATTCTTGCCATAATTTCTCTGATTTTGTAATAAATTTATGAATGGTTTGTAAGTTAAACTTACGGATATTAAATCTACTACATTAAGGTATCCTAATATTTCTTCCGCTATTTGAAATCCTGTTAGAAGAAATGTATTTTGTGAAAGTTTATAGTAAAAATATAAATATAAATTACCGAAAATTTGAAGGGGGATTTTCATTACCAAACAAAAATTGAAATTTTGTTTTAAAAGAATTACTGGTACATATTTATATTTTTTTTCTTAAAAATTTTTATTAAAAATATTGATCTTTTTCATCTGTTTATGACTCAAATTACAGATTTTTGAAGTCCAAAATCAGTCAATTCTTTTAGCCATCTCCTATTACTTCTCATTATTCCATCACTATACTTTTCGTCTCCCATTATTTTCTATTCATCTTTTCATTTTCCATTATCTCTTTTCTCTCCTGTTTATTTCCTATCATTTCTTTTTGTCTCTCATCGTTCCCTTTCGCCTCCCATCACTCCTCTTCATCTTCCCATCACTTCTTTTCATCTCTCATCACTCCTCATCATCTTCTCATCATCTCCCATTCCTTATCGTCTCCCATCACTCCTCTTCATCTTCTCATCACTCCTTTTCGTCTCCAATCACTCCTCTTCATCTTCCCATCACTCATTTTTGTCTTTCCATTACTCCTCTTTATCTTCTCATCACTCCTTTCGTCTCCCATCACTCCTCTTCATCTACCATCATGCCATATTTCTCCTTATTGTTTCCTATCACTTTTCACTTTCTTTTTTACTCCCTTTCATCTTCTATTACTTTCCATTACTTCATTGTTATTTCATTTTTTTTATTGGCATCTTTCTTCTTTATCATTGTAATTTGCTATTATTTCTTTTATTTGTATCACTTCATTAAAAATACGGTGATTTTTTTCTTTAAAATCGTAATGTGTGACTTAAATTTTAATATTTGCAAATAAAATTTCATTAGATAAAAATATTTATTCCACTGAACGTCAAAAAATATATATTCACATTCATTATTTTATTTATTAATAATCAATTTTTTTTATCAATTACTGTACTTATGACGTAATCATAATTTTATATTTTTTAGAAGACTAATTTTTCCGGAAAAGTAATGAAAAAATATTAAAATATTTAAATTTCCTCTTAAACTCACGTTTAAAAAAAAAAATATTTTTTTTTCGCAAAATATAAAGTAACTCGTATGATCACATCATTACAATATTACATGTTCGTCCTGTGACGGAGACAATAAAGGCTAATTTAAATTCCGGATACGTGAAACCTACGTAAACAATGAGCTATTTTCGATCATTTATAAAAAACTATTTTATATTTTTTAAAACCTTGGAATACATCTGGAAAAAGTAATGAAGTACAAAGTGAGAGGATGTTTTTGCAAGCATGTATAGATTAATACGACAAAAATATATTTGTCACACAGGGATTAGGAAATAATCATATAATATACATTTTTGATGTTAATTTGATATAAGTTCAGTTAAATACTTCATTACTACAACAATAGTAATTATCTTCTATATATACATTATATTTTGGAGATTAGATAACAAATAAGACTTCAGTATCTTTATAATGGTCGGGCACATGAATTCGGGTCACCATGCAGTCCAGTGATTCGCTTAGGTCCAATTATAAAATTTGAATTTTTTGTCATTCGCTTTATAATGAGTTATTAAAAAAAAAAAAAAATTTTTTTTTATTAATTTGATATAACTATAGTATACACCTCTTGTTAAATTAAGATGCAAGCATTCTATTAAACATACTACTTGCATAAGCTACTTTTAAATTTTTGTCATGGGATTCTAAACATCCCTTATATAAAAAATATTTATTTAAAATCTATATTTTTTTTTACTAATTGTAAAAATTTAATAAACACAGAGAAAAAAAAAGTAAACTTAGATCGATTTAGTTCAGTCATTCATATGTCTGCGAAACATCTTTCCATTGTGATCACGCCTCCGGATTCCGGAAGTAACTTATTTAGATAAGATCAACGTAGAATCTGCAAAAACAATTTGCCTTCCATTAAGGTCTGGTTATTTACTGTAACACCAACTTCGTTATGTAACGGCGCTGAAGGCTGAAAATTTTTTTTGAAAAAAAAAAAAAAACCTCTTTTCAATTTTCATTCATGTTCAAGTTTTCGTGATAAATATTTAATAAAGAAAAAAATAAGATTACTCTATGATATTACCATTTTTTTATAAAATAATATGAAATTTTTTTAATGATGACAATGAAATCAAATGAAAGCCTCAAAATTTCTCTATTTTATTACAATATTTTAACTGACTTAGGAAAAATATAATGAAAGAGGGATATTATTATTTAATATTTAAAAATCTCATGACAATGTAAAATTGAGATTTATTAAAATCATACTATTAATCATACTGTTAAAAGAAAAAAAAAAAAGAGAAATTAAAAATAATCAAGAATCTATTAAAAAATTTTAAGTTATCTATGAATTTTCCTTTTTTTATATAATTTAAAAAAAGAAATTTTTTTTTCAAATAATGATAAAATCTATTTCCGAAAGATTTAGATCAAAGATCAAAAGATAAAGAGCAGATTGAAGATCTCGAATAGCATAGTATGAGAAGAAAAAATATAATATTTTTATCAAATTTAGTTAAACGATAGATCATAATAACAATGAAAATGTCCATTTAAGGAAAGTTTATAATTCAAAACGATGAAGAATATACAACTTCAAATAAAATATTTCGAATTTCAAAAATTATATAAATCCTTAGTTTTTTCCTTTGAAAAAATCTTCAGTTCGATCTAGAAGTCGAAACAAAATAAAAAATAAAATAAAAAATAAAGATAAGAAGTCTAAAATTCAATTATGAAGTTCACGACTCTTGCTTGTTTGGCAATCTTGGGGATTTCGACCTTGAATGAAGGTGATTATATTAGCTTGATATAAAGAAAATAAAATTTTTTCTAATTCCATTTATATTATATGTATAGTCAATGCTGCTCCTATTGCCGAGATCGGATTAAATAATAAACGCGATTCAACACCTTCATATGATTATAAAGACGAGAAGGACAAAAAAGATGATTATTATGGTGGCAAAGATGATGAATACTATGGCGGCAAAGATGATGACTACTACGGCGGCAAAGACGATAAATATGATGATGACAAAAAGAAATCCTACTACAGACGATCTGCCTTAGCCTCCCCGGGCGACAAAGATGATGATTACTATGGCGGAAAAGATGATGATTACTATGGCGGCAAAGACGATAAATATGATGATGACAAAAAGAAATCCTACTACAGACGATCTGCCTTAGCCTCCCCGGGCGATAAAGATGATGAATACTATGGCGGCAAAGATGATGATTACTATGGCGGCAAAGACGATAAATATGATGATGACAAAAAGAAATCCTATTAAAATGTTTTTTGAATAGGTTTTGCATAATATTAATTTAGTTTCCTTTTCCAGAATTTTAATTTTAAATTATTTGTAAAAAAACGATTTTATTTGAAAAAAATGTGAATAGTTTCTTTTTTATTTGTAAATTTTTTTAAATTTTTTGAATAGTTTCCTTCCCTTATTCGATAATGAATATTTACCTAGTTATCTAAAACTTTCAACGTTACACGATTTTTTAATTCTTCTTTTGTGAAATAATATTGTAATTAATAAAACTAGATATTCCAGGCTAATTTTTAGTCTATTTTGCGTGTCAAAATTTCTGTGCCATTTATCATGTACAGTTGAGATTAGCTCGATTATCTCTAAAGAAAATCACATACTGATAAATTTTTGCAAAAGAAATAAAACGATTAACAAGTAGTCAAATTATTTTTCAATGTGCTAGATTTAAATCTATGATCGTAAATATTTATCAATATATACTTTTGAGCGCCAACCATAACGAACATTTAATTCCAAAAATTTCGTAATTTTATATAAATTCAAAGAAGATACGTGATTGGGCGGCAAATACAATTATGTGATGTCTCCAAAAGGATTAAAACAATAGAATTTTCGATAGAGAAAAATTCTTGATGGCATGAATAAATTATTGAAAAGAAACTTTTCTAACAATGATTTTTTTGCAACACAATTTTATAAGGATCATTTTAACGCTCACCAGTGGTGAAATTCACCAGGGGTAAATTCACCAGTGGTGAAATTCACCCAAGGTAAAGTTCACCTATATTACATAATTATTAAAATTTAAATTGTTTTGTTTTGAAAAAAATAATAATTTTATTAATAAAAATATTTATATAAAATATATAGTTTAAATATAATAATATATTATACAATAATTTATAATTTAGTATTATTATAAAAAATAGATAAATCCTATAAGTATTAAGTAGATTTTATACTGCTAAACAACTTTCAATTAATAAAGGAAGTAAATTTCATTTGACTAAAGTGGTGAAATTACACTCTAAAGTTAGTAAATGGAAAAAAGAAAAATTCGAAAGTTAGTACCATGATGAAAAACGTAGATTTCTCCATATGTATTATACCT